AAATGTTTTAAAGAAATAAATCTATGTTTTCTTCCTTCCGAGTCAAATTTTTCAGCAAATTTTTTTGGCACTGCTTATCTATAAATGATGAAATTAAATAACTAGGTTTTATATTAAGACAAAACAAAACAGAAGCCAATCATGCACACACTACCTGAATGCGGGCTTATCTCCTGTATCAGCCTGCCTTTGCCCTGTTACTACTAGAGCATAGGAAAGAGGAGTGAACAAGCTGCTATGGTCAAAACACCCCAAACTGGTTCAAAGCAGAGATTAACTCCACTGCATTCAGTAAAACAAATACACCATGGATTCTAAGGTAATTCCAGACAGCCTTCAAAAGGTTTTGAGGCAGGGGTGTAAAGGAAATTGGTTGTATCAGAAGTATTTGTTATGGGTTTTCTTTCTGGCATTTCCAATCTCATAAAAAACTTTTCTTCTCCTTCTTTTGATCTCTCAGGAACTAGATGTTTTTTTCAGTTGGGATCCGTGGCCCTCCATTTACCTGCCAGAAACAGGCAAGCACTGACTGGCGCACAGCAGGAACTCGACAGCCTGCCCAACAGTGATCCCCTGGCAAGTCCAAGTCGCTTCCTTGGGGGACACCCAAAGGTGAGTTTAATCTCTAAATCTTTTTCTTGTTTTGGTTCACTTTCTCCAGAAGAGTATCTAATAATCTAATGGGAAAGAGAATGGAATTGGTAAAAACCCTGGGCCAACATTCTAGAAGCCAAGTCAAGATGCCTGGCTCTTCCATTTATAGCCTTTTCTCTTAGCCAACCACCTCCACTGTGCCTAAGAACTCACGCAGGGAGGCCCTGGGCGTTCAGGCTCTACTGAAAACAAATTCTAGTATTAAACCGGGGGTGGGAGAGGGTCTCATGACTGCATGGCAAGAGAAAGATCTGGGCCTCTATTCTCCTGGTTGTTTGCCTTCAGAGTCACCTGGCATTTCCAATTCCTAAGCTTTTCCAGGGTTTCTGCAGCAAGAATTGGCTTTGTCCAGAATTCTCCATCCCTGAAGGCATTTAGCTTTCACCTTTCACTGATTAAGTTCATCATTATTAAAGTTTTTTTACTTAGAAAATGTGATTAACATTTTGTCACTCTTTTTAACCTAATAAATTCATGGCTTTTAAATGTCCTTTTGCTGATATATTAGGGCTTCAAAAGAAAGCAAAGATAAACATGTATGCTCAGGGCCTCCTTGGTAGCACCAGGGGTTAAATCTCAGCACTACCAAGCTATTACAAACTAGTATGGCCTGAGTTCGATCCCTGGCCTGGGAGCTAACCCCACATGGCACAGCAGACATCTCCTGTCTGGCCCACTGCTCCCCTCAGCAGTGTATTCCAGCAAATCCGCCTGTTCTGCTCCCCACTCTGTCTCTGGTGAATCTTCTCACTCTCCCACCCCACCTCTGGCCAAGACCCGGTTTTTGTATTCATAAGTAAATAAATCCTTTAAAATATATGTTCAATCCAACTATGCATGAGAGCAAATCCTAGAAAGAAATTTTTTTAATCAACTTATATTGAACTATTTTATGCCAAGGAAATGTAGTTAATGCAAGTCTAGTACCTAGATTTGACAAGCCACTAGTTATGTTTTTACCCTCCACAGATCCAAGCTTACCTGTTTCCACACTCCTCAGGTCCACACACCTTGCTTTCCCCAGTGCTCAGAAGATGCCCAGGCCCTCCCTCCCCTGGGTGCCAGCACAGTCACCTGCTCAGGGACACACCTGATACCTGCTTGCAAAACAAGCCTGTATTCCTCTCAGTGTTCTTGACCCCAGGGCCTCCTACTGCCCTGCACCTTCCTTTCAGTATTCTCTCTCATTTTGCTTTTATCTTCAGCCTCTTCATCTCCAAAGGTTTCATCCTCACTTATTTCTTTGTATTATTTTTAAATTTATTCATTTATTTTTAACTGAGCTACTATTCAGATACCTTCCTTTTTTTTTTTTTAATATTTGCAAAGAAACTGTAATTGCCTTCCACTGGCAAAAAATTCTCCTGTACAAAACAACTAGTATTTGGCTAAAATATATTTTTGGTGCATTGATGAGCTTCCAGAAAATCTCCAAGGACCTCAGCACCATAACCAAAAACCACAAGTACACAAACTTTGGCCCAAAGTCAAAGCAAAACAGTGAAGCAAACTCTAAAGGTAGGGTGATGGCGAGGATTCATGTCCTCACCATGCCTGCTACGGGGAGTCTAAGCCTCAGACAGTGGGGAAGAAGAGAAGCCCAAGAACCCTCAGGAGATAAATTCACACCTCACAAGGTTTCGTCTCTCCCCCTCCTCCCGCTTCTCTTCTATCCCTTTTGAAGCAAATGCAAATCATTCCCTTATTTGGTGCCTCAGATTAAGACCAAACAAAGGCTCACAGCCAACTACTCAAATACCAAAAAGAAACAAGCCACTATAAAATTCTGTAGAGACAGTCAACAGATTTAGACCTCCAACTACTAAATATATGATGCAAAATATAAAATTAATACTAGTCATTACCTTAGCAAGAATGGATGATAAAGCCAAGATGGAGAAGGATGACACAAGGAAACCTAATTGGGATATTCATGTACTGGCGGATAAATGAAAGTTTTCAACTACTACATAGTGAGATTCCTTTTCCCATTCATTAGGAACGGTGTGATCACTTAGTTTTATCACACTCATAAATTCTAAAAAGAAACTGGTGGAAAGTGTATAAAAAAAAAAAAAAAGGTCAACATCTCCAAGTAACAACCTTAATACTAAAATGAAAATGATCACACATGCCAAAAACATAGTCTTGAATCTTAAAAAGGTATTCACTAGACTTAGGACTAATGATAGACCCAATTGTAAAAGAAACTACAGAACATGTATAAAATCCTAAACTGCTGACTCTGTACAGCTAACTCAGCTAGACACAAGGTTACCTAACATCAGCTCTAAATAACATGGCTCTTTCAGTGAGACAACCATCTTGAGATTTGGGCCATGGTTGGCAAAGTACTTTTTAAACTTCCTTACTTCAGGTTACCTAGGACAGATGACATACCATATCCTCAATCCTGCATATGAGTGGTATTCTGGGAGAACGCTGGGCACCAAAATACAGTACTATCTCTGAAGTGCATCAATGTACTCAATGTAAGTAATCAAAAACAATTTTATATGAAAACAAAAATACTGTGTCTAATAAAATACAATATATGGCAAATATTTAATAATGTGAAACAAAATGTTGGCTCAGCAAGTGCTGGTATGACTATGCTGTCACACTTTAAGGGATAAACATTTACCCCATTCGTGATGCTAGGCCTTTGAAGAAAGACGACTCACTGAACAGAAATATGTTTTGGCACGGTTGGCACCACTAAAATAAAGCTAACACATCTAAGACACAATTCTCATTAAAGGTGCTAACCATTTACACATCAGTATATATTTAACAAATATAAAAAGGCTAATTTCAAAGTAGAAAATTAAATATATTCATCTCTTAAAATTAAAAATCAATGGAGGCCTCACTGGTGGTGCAGGGGATAAGTCACAGTGCTGCCAAGCTAATGCCAGTCACTCTAGCTTACGTTCCATTCCCAGGCAGTGAACTAACCCCCATGGTGCAGAAGACCTCATCTGTTCTGCTCCCCATACTGGCCCTGGTGAATCCTTTCATGCCCCACCCCTACATCTCTGGCCTACACTCCAGTTCTTTAATGCATAAATATATGAATCTTTGAAACAACAATAAAAAAAGACAAAGACAAATTCAAAATTAATGTATAAAGCTCAAGGGAGATTAGAAAGCCTAACTAAAGCAGAGTTGAAGAAATGAGCCCAGGAAACTCAGGAGAAACACTTTGCCCTTAGAATGAAGGTAGAATTGAGGGAAACTGCACTCCCCACATTTCAGGTGTTAGCAAACCCATTCTGTACTTTCACTTTCCAGGTTATAAGTTTTAATGCTAAGACATGAATTACCAGCAGCTAATCTTGAAAACTACAGGCCATCCCAACTACTGACAAAAAAAAATCTCAACAGTATCCAGAGAAAATGGTAACCTTGGCATTTATATCTTCAGAAAATAAAAAGACATCATAAAACTGTCCTTGAAAAGGTTACTTCTGGGCCCTCCCTGGTGGCACAATAGGTTAAGGCGCTGTACTGCAAGCAAGCTGCAGCTGCTTCTGTGAGTTCAATTCCCAGTCCCAGAGGTGATCCACATGGTGTGGCAGACCTCTCCTCAGCTGCCCACTGCTCCCCTCAGCAGTGTACTTCGTCAGCCAGCATGTTCTGCTCCCCACTCTGGCTCTGGTGAATCCGCTCACCATCCCTGCACCTCTAGTCTGCACCCCAGTTCTATATGCATAAATAAATAACTCTTTTTTAAAAATAAAGAAAATGTTACTTCTATCAAGTAGTTTCAAGACACACAGACTCAGTTACTATTATGTCCTATGAAAGTAAACTTTAATGTTTATAAAACCTGTAATTCTGATTGGTTGTCTCACTTAACAATATATTGTCCTCGTATAACATTTAAATTGACCTCTGAAAATATTTTTATTTTCCATGTACATGAGTCAAAATAAGTAAATCTCAAACATACTGACTTATTTAAAAAAAAATAGAAAAAATTAACTTTAAGAATCTTGGCTAAGGAAAAATACCGGATGGTTTCACTCATAGCAGGAGTATAACTGACCAGGTGAGAAAATAATAATAATGAACAGCTATATACCAAAGATGTTTTATGGTGATGGCACATGGGTGATGGGAAGCCCACGGGTATTACAACTAACATGAAAAAATGCACAAAATGATGTCAAAATAAACTATTATATTATTTTAAAAAAAAAACTCTTGACTCATTTCAACTAAGACGGGGAAGAAAGAGTACCTATGTCCTGTCATACAAAAATGAAAATTATACTTTTAATCTTCACATTCCATCTTACCATGTACACAGTCTATTCCCAGAACATCTTCAAAATACTTACTGTAAGTGCCAGGAGATTTTTCTTCATAAGTAAAATGAAGTTGTAATTCCTCCTCTGGTACTTCACAGATGAACACTTTCAGCAAACAGCAAATAATAAACAAAGCATTGTGTGTCTGCCAAATAAAGATGTGGCTAGAAAAGAAAACCAAAATCACACAAGGATCAGCAGTTACTCATGGGCATCATCAGTTTATTTCTGAACCACAATTTCTCAATTTTGCCCATTCTGTTTACAGTATTAGAACAACGTCCATACCTTTTAATAGCACACGTGATTAGCTACTTTCACATTTCATCCTGTGTATCTGACTTAAGTAAATCAACTTAATAAAAATATTTCCGTTAGGCATAAGTGTTCTTTGTTCTTAATTTTATAGCTGCCCCACACACTGACAATTCAAAGAAAGCTTAAAAATCAAAAAACAAAAGATAGTAATACTGAGGAGAATCTATGTAAACGCCCACCAAAATTTAAAATGGGGCATTGCCCACAGCACCGCATACTACTTGCAATTTGAATTAATGACCCTGAACTCGCAAGAAAAATTTTAACTGAATTTAATTTGTTTGGGAGCAAGACAAGGAATAACCTGTTAAGAGACTGCCATCCAAAAATGGTTTTAAAAAACACTGAGTACCTAAAAGGCTAACTATTCACTGTACCTCAAATAAAACTATAATATCTCATATGAGAGGAGCCTTCTTTAATGAAAAAATATGAAAGAAATCAAGATAGCAGATACAGAATGATACAGCGCTCAAATTAAGTCATTATTTAAACTAACTGTGATCAACAAAGATAATGGGGGATATTACATTTTAAAATAATAATTTCATCACCATTGATCTTCTGAAAGAAGATTTCCAAAGACTGTCTGCATGCTGAAATCAGATTCCAGAATTTTATGATCTCATCCCAACGACTTAAGACAGTAAATGAAATCTCTTTTACTTTATTCCTTTAACGACAAGAATAATTCTTTCACAGTTTTCAGAAGCCCAGAATCTATTTCTAGATTAAATATCCGGTTATTCAAATATCTATATGTTAAACATAAAGAGAACATTAATTTGGGCTCTCCCTGGTGGCACAGTGGGTTAAAGCGCAGCACTGCAAGCCGGCGGCGGCAGCTTCCATGCCAGTTCGATCCCCAGCCAGGGAGGTGCCCCACATGCCACAGCAGACCTCGCCTGTCTCACCCGTTGCTCCCTGTGAGTGTACTACTTCCATCTGCCTGTTCTGCTCCCCACTCTGGCTATGGTGAATTTTCTCACAGCCCCCGAACCCCAGCTCTATATACATAAATAAATAAATCTTTTTTAAAAAGAGAAAGAACTTATTAATTCATCAGTCATCTTACTTTTGACATTCTGCTGAAAGTTTTAGTTCTTTGGTTCTAGAAAGGAAGACCTTGATTAGTGCACCAAGGTTTCTTGTACGAGGATTGTTTACAACTGCAAGAGAAGAAAAAAATTTTAAAGAAGTGATTTCAAAGTGAGTCTATCACAACATTTATAAGAGCAAATGTCAATCACTGACCAACCTTTACACCAATTTAACATCTAATCAGAAAAACATGCAATGAGAGAAACAGCTGCTTACTCTTAATTCTGAACAAGAAATAATTTACAAAATGAAAAATGATAGAAACAGTAAAGAAAAACAGCTATTTCACCTCAGAATTCAAAATTGTAAATAAGTTTATAAATACATATATTTACATTTACATCTTTCTCTTTAAAAAGGAATATGCTTTTTTTAAAAAACTTGAAAACTGATCTTCTATATTCCCAATAAACTGTAAAGGTAAAGTTTGTTTAGATAATCACAAATTGTTTTAATGAAAAACAAACAGATATATAAAGAAAAGCAACATGCTTAGATGTTTGATCAGAAACAAATTTTAAACAGTGTATTTTTAAGTTTTAAAAAGTTTAAAATTGGGCCCTCCCTGGTGGGGCAGCAGCACTAGGAAGCAGAGCACTAGGAAGATACCCACAGCCACAGCATCACAGGTTCTACCCACCCCCCACCCACCCAAGGAGGTCACCCAAATAGCCCAGCAGACCTCTCCTGTCCCACCCGCTGCTCCCCTCAGGATCGTATTTCAGACTATCTGCCTGTTCTACTCCCCACTATGTCTCTGGTGAATCCTCTCACCCCAGCACCTCTGGCCTGTACCCCAGTTCTTGTATTTATAAATAAATAAATCTTTTTTAAAAAAAAAGTTTAAAATGTAGGCATTTCAGCAAATCCAGCCTGAAGAAGAGACTATTACATTGGGAATCAGGGGATCTGGTTTCTAAATCAAAGTCTATAATTAACCAGATATTGAACCCCAGTCAAATCATTTTACCTCAGCTTTCTCATCTTTAAAAGAAACAACACTGACATATATTGAAAGACATGCACTAAATGTTTCATATGCATTACCTCATTTAATCCTCAAAACTACCTATGAAGATAAATACCAATATAACTTCCATCTTACAGATTCTCAGCTGTAAAATCTCACTTGCTCTTAAGACACATCAGTGGGTTTTTGAACCAGCAGTTTCAAATCTTTGGCTCTAAACTACTATGCTATTACCAATCAATATAGCCAACGTATGTGACTTCTGAAACCGTTAAAAGTTCTATCAGGCTGTGCAGCAAGACATATGGGGTCACCGATGTTACACAGTAATCTGACTAGGCCACTAGACACCCAGAAAACTGGTTTAACACTCTTTCCCAGGGTGTCTGAGAGGCTGTTTGGGCATTTCCACTGGTAGAGTGAGTGGACTCCTCCACACAGTGGGGCATCAGTCAACCCACTAAGGGCCCAAATAGAACAGAAAGTCAGAGGAAGGGTGAATTCGCTCTCTCTACCTGACTACATGAGCTGAGAAATGGAACTTGCACCCTTGGGCTATGACTTCCAACAGTGGCCCTGCTGAACTCAGGCCTTTGGACTCAGATTAGAATTTACACCATTGAATGTCCTGGACGCAGGACAGATGCAGATGATGGAACTGCTCAGTCTCCATAATCACATGAGCCAATTTCTTATAACAAATTTCATTTTCTGTATCTCCATCTACCCTACTGGTTCTGTTTCTCAGAGGATATTGACTAATCAAAATAGCTCATTAGTTAAGAATTCATCAGCAAGGAGAGACCACTTGGTCAGATCTTTCATCTTACTGATCCACAAAGGTTAATATTGGGTCCAAAATACATTAGTGACAGATGTCCACTCTTTTTGCCTTACCAATTGCTTTTACACTGTAAAACTCCAGAGTTCTTGATATTTATTTCTCTTTTGAAATAAAATTTTAACTATTTTGAAAAACAAAAATGCAAACACTCAAACACATTGGCCTGTGCTGCCAGAGCATTCATCTTTATGCAGATCAGAGAATTATGCTTTTGCTGCCATCTCTGTGTATATATCTGAACTACTTAAAAATGTGTCAAAGATTTGGAAAGATGGAGCTCTCTAAAATTTTTTTAATGGAATGCTTCACACATTTGCATGTCATCTTTGCACAGAGGCCATGCTAATCTCTGTGTCGTTCCAATTTTAGTATATGTGCTGCCAAAGCGAGCACTAGAATTATTTTTTAAAAAAATCAGGTCTGCATGTGCTTTTCAAAGCTACATGGGAATAAGTACACCATTACAACAAACTTGCTTTGTGCTTAGCAACTGCCAAGTTAATACAGATCTACCGGCAACTTGACAAACAATGCAAATAATTGCTTAACTCCCTTGTGATAAAATGTTGTAGCACCTTGGTAAAGCAAGTGTGGCTCATGGGTGAGCAATAACGGCATTATATGGAAGTCATTGGAAATGCAGATCCTAGGCCCACTCTAAGCTATGGGAATTGACAAAATTGAATGTACATTTAAATCACAAGGCATTCTTACTAAAATTCAAGTTCTTATTCTGTATATGTGATGTATAACATGAGATTCTGCACCTCTCTAAAGTCTCCCAGTGAGGCCATTGCTGCTGGCTGGAGAAACCCAATGGGGAGAAGTGAAGAGAAAGATACGTGTAGGAGGAACTTAATTATGAAAAGAATCCTAAAGATTTATCAGCCAAAACCATAAATCAGAGGCAGTTGAGACATTCTGCAAGTGACAAGGAGGATGAGGGATCAGAAGGACACAAGGGACTATTATGGTGATGATGCACCGGTAAACTGGTGGTGGGAATTTTACAGGGAATACACCTGAAGGAGAAAGCATATGAGCATACATTGTTCAAAAAGGAACAATGATGTTTTATATATGTGCGTATGTATATTATACATATATATTTTATAAATTTAAAATATAATAAAATAAATTTATCAACCAACAAGGTGTGAACCTTATTTAGATCTTAATTCAAGCAAACTAAGACAAAGTTTCAAAACTCAGTATACATTTTATGATGTTGTTTCCTTAGTAATATAGGTATTTTTTCCTTGTAAAAATCCTTTAAAAAATACATATCAAATATATATGGATGATATTTATATTAACAGAGTTGAATCACATTTAAAAATGTGAATTTAGATAAAATATATATTAAGTGAGGATATGTTTTTGATTTTACACATACTTTTTACCTGTATACTTTTCTGTACAAATGTCATGCTTCAATACACGGCTGAGGGAGACAGATAAAACAAGAATGGCCACAAGGTGAAAATGGCTGAAACTAGGAAATGAGCACAAAGCAATTCACTATATTATTCTGTTTCTGCACGAGTGTGAAATTTTTGTTTTATCTATATTTGTGGGAAAAGCACAATTAAAAATACAATATCCATGAAGTCAGAGAAAAATAAATAAGCTCATGAAAATGGTAAACAGGTATAGAAAATTCTCAAAAAAAGAAACACTTTCATTGATTACAAATTTTAAAGAAAAAGCTAGCAACTTACTTGCTAATCAATCAATGGACCCTGAGCAAGTCTAATTGTCTGAAAACAGCTTTGTGGAAAAAGTTTCCCTGTCCCATTGTCAACTCATCCAGAAAACTTAATTAATCCTCCCACCCAGTAACTTTCTATACCAACTCAGAGGTTACAACCCCCACAGAAGGCCGCGAAGAAGCAAACAAGCCAAACCAGGACAATTTAGGCTGGATGGCAGAGACAGGAAAAAATGTTGATCCAGATGTTTGAACTGAAGATTTTAGAATTCCCTCAAGAAGTAGGGCAGTAATGGAGAGTCCCATTTCAACCAAGCAAATCTGCAACCCCCCCCCCAAAAAAAAACTCATGGGTTCAAGAAATTAGGTTAGAAAGCTGCAACAGGCTCTCTCCAAGCTAAAATAACAGCAGTTTACAAGCACCCACAGGCGCTGCACAACACACCTGTGCTGGTAACAACAATGTGCCTTCATGGGAAACTTCTAAGCCCTTTCTTAGTCTGCTTTATTTCCTGAAGTGGTCATTTTATAAAATACATGTATGTTTATCTATGGTCTGATTTCCCCACTGCGATTGACCCATGAGATAAAGGACTTAGGTCAATCTTTTTTTGCAGTCACATCCCCAGATAAAAATTAGAACCTGTAATATAAATGGTGTTCAATGAATATTTGCTGTTTAAAGCATAAGAGAGCAGTTACAGCACAACAGAATAAGAAAGAAGTTATACTGAAACCTCCAAAGCGCCGAATCAAAATCACCACAAGAATTTTAGTTTACAAGTGCCATCAGTAGAAGACAGGAACACCCACCATCTATTTTTCATAGTTAAAGAACACACAGCTACCGGGAGAAATAAGTGTAGTGAAAAGAGCCTGACATCCAGGGGGAAAAATAGATGACTAAAAATAAGCTTCCAATGCCTTCTCAGCCAAATGATGCACAGCATAATGAATAAGGCTAACTGGTAATGAAAATGAAGATGCAGAAGGTAACGGACAGCAGCCCACCCTGAAAATATTACAGCTGATCCTAACTTGAGGAGAAGAAACTAAAAACTTAAGTAACTCAAAGTCATAACTAAGAAAATTTCAGAGCTGACAAAGACCTAATAAAAATACCTCATCAAATTCTAGGAAAAAATTTTGATGAGAAATATTTAATCACTGAAAGGAAAAACCTACGAACAAAGAAGCAAAAAGGAAAAATTGAAGGAAGGTCAGGCGCTCTCCTTTCTCCTGCCATGGAAGGACATGGTGCTGAGGAGACAGCACCATCATGACTTTGGGGCCTTGTCAAGTCCTGAGGTGCCAGGCCTTCTGGCCAAGCATTTTGGGACTTTCTGTGTTGGAGAATCACTGCATCCAGGGTTGACACCAAGAAACAGTAGCTGAACCACGAAAGAAAGCACAGGCAGATTTCTACAGAAACTATGATTCCAAAAAAGATTCAGAAGAGACCAGGTATATTTCAGAATGTAAAGTGATCTTGAAACAAAGGATTTCTTTGGCTGGATTTCCATGTAAATTTGTCACTAATTTTTTCCTGAACCTATGAAAGCAAGAATATTTGGACTGTAGAATATTTTCTTTTGATAAATAAACAATTAAATATTATGGGGTTTGGGGGCAAGGCAACTACTACAGTCACACCATGTCATTACCAACATAACTTGTTTTTAAAAGCAAAAATATTTCATCAAAGACTTTTTGGCAAAGTAACGTATATGGGAGTTAATGAGACAGCTTACATGGAGTACAGCTTGATTTAAAAACAGAATATCATTATCACTATTAAGTGCATGCACGTTAGGCATTTTAAACAGATAAAATTATTTCCTAATTTCCAAGACAACAATGCAACATAAGTATAATTATCTGTGGTTTCTTTTTTTAATATATACATCCCTTTTCAGTTGTTAGCAACTTGAAAGTAAAGCATATAAAGAAGTGAGGGTTAAAATAGGTAACATTTGTTCATAGAAATAGTGAATAAAGAGGGCAAGCTAGGCAGCCGACTGGATATTTCCTATGTTCTCTGGTTTTTTCCTCATGAAACCCTGAGTTCAGATAAAGAAATTAAGACCCTGCTAATAAATAGCAAAGCTGAAATTAACATCATAAAATGATTCCTGAGCCCTTGCACTTTACCATAACAGCAAATTTCCTAATATTTTATATTAATGAGTGATCATTATTCTAGTTAACCAGGCCCACAACAGTATAAGTCTGTGCAGCTGGCAAATCACAGAACAAATCAACCTATATTTTGTGTGAATTGTCCATGCAAGTATAAAAATAACTTAGTGTTTGGGTTTTTTTTTCCTTCAGTATTTCAAAATTCATGAAAAGAACAAGCTGAATGAGAGTCTATGGCCTAGTAGCATTCATTACCACTACTGCAAATTAACCAGACATATGCTTCCTAACTGAACAGTACTTTCGAGTGGTATCAATGAGCACCGTGAATTATTATTAGTATTATTACCACCACTATTATCATCTTCAGGAATGCATCACTTCATCCAACTCAATTCATACTATATTATCAAAATTCATAAATTTTTAACTAATTGTCCCTGTTTACAAATGCATGCACATGCACACACTCATTTTTCCCCCTTACCTAAAGACCTGCAGACTGAAACAGTTGCCTCCTCCAAGAGCTTCAACTCAGTACTGGAAAGATAGAGGAAAGGTAATTAATAACCACAATACTAAATATGTACATACCAACAAATTAAAAGACTAAACAAAAAGAAAATAATTTAGAAGGAAATTAAGTTATAAAGTGGGTAAGCAATACAGCCAGTGAAATAAAGTTAGTTTCTATTTTCAATGTAATTAGAAAATTTACTGTAACTGCCAACTGTCTAACAAGAGAAGCATTCTGGCACCCTGCCTTTCAGGAAGGTTGGGGGGTCTTCAAAAATTTGAGAAAGGCATTCTGAAAAGCAGAGCACAATGCAAGAGCCCTATTGCCCAGTTCTAGGTCAATTCTGATCATGGCATTATAGATTATCTAGGAAAATACTATTATTTTCAGTAGATACATGAAGTCTCATGAAAAAAGAAGAAACAAGGAAAGAGATTTCAATGATTATAAATATGCAAAAAGAAACAAATAAACTATTATAATAAAAAATGCATAAAAAAGTACTCTTTTCTGCCAATACACATGGCAAAGCAAATCCTCCTAACAGGCAACTCTTCTAGGCTAAATTAAAAATCCCATCTTCAAGGGGACTCTGCTGTTGCTGATGAAGGTTACTTTTAAAAAGAGCAATCAACATTATTAAGGCTTTGACAAGAAAATTTCAGACACTGTAGAACAGAAGTGATTAGTATGATTATTTCTGGAATTACACTATCCAATATGGTTAACTCCACAAGCCACATGTAACTCCACTGACCACTTGAAAGGTGGCTTGTCCAAACTGAGATGTGCTAGAAGCAAAATACACACTAGATTTCCTAAGTCTGGAAAGAATAGAAAGAACTTCATTATTAATCCCTATGTTCATAAAGTTCCAATATCTGGGACATATTGGGTTAAATTTTATTTAATCTAATTAAAACTACCTTCACCTGTTTCACTTTATGTTAGAAAACTTTAAATTACATATGTGTTAATTTAGATTTCCATTAGACAGAGTTGCTCCAGAATCTGTCTCCCATCGATTAAAGACAATATCATATATCAGAAGCAGTAAGTATACACGTAAACAACTATCTACTAATTCAGCAACTATGTCATTACCTTAAGGATTTCAAGTTGTGACCATATTTTAGAAAATAATTACAATATTCTCAAAGTTATATCTTTAAGTTTCATCTAAGATTGAAGTATTGGGGGCCTCTCTGGTAGTGCAAGGGTTAACTTAAGTCTCAGCACTATCAAGCTATCAGCAACCACTGCAGCATAAGTTCCATCCCCAACCTGGGAGGTGACCCACATGGCGCAGCAGACCTCTCCTGTCTTGCCCATCACTCCCCTCAGCAGTGTGTTTCATCAGATCTGCCTGTTCTGCTCCCCACTCTGTCTCTGGTGAATCCTCTCACCCCAGCACCTCTGGCCTATACCCCAGTTCTTCTATGAATAAATAAATCTTTTTTTAAAAAAGAGTGAAGTGGGCCCTCCCTGGTGGCGCAGCGGGTTAAAGCACAGCACTGAGAATCTAAGGCTGCTTCCGCATGAGTTCGATCCCCGCCTGCCCCGGAGGTGACCACATGGCATGGCAGACCTCTCCCGACCCGCCCACTGCTCCCCTCAGCAGTGTACTTCGTCGATCTGCCTGTTCTGCTCCCCACTCTGTCTCTGGTGATTCCACTCACCCTCTGCATCTCTGGCCTGTACCCCAGTTCTGTATGAATAAATAAATAAATCTTTAAAAAAAAAAAAAAAAGAGTGAAGTGTTTTTAGTCAAAACCACCTAGAAGTGACCTTACCTTAAAGGGCTTGTGGGCCTCTAGTTTTTGTCACTGCATTAGGGCTTTTTTTTTTTAAAGATTTATTTATTTATGCATTACAGATCTGGGGTACCGGCCAGAGGTGCAGGGGCGGTGAGAGGATTCACCAGAGACAGTGGGAGCAGAAAAGGCCGACTGATGAAGTACACTGCTGAGTGGAGCAGCGGGTGGGTCAGGAGAGGTCTGCCGCGCACTGTGGGTCACCTCTGGGGCAGGCGGGGATTGAACACATGTGGAAGTGGCTTAAGCTTCTTAGTGCTGTGCTTTAACCTACTGTGCCACCAAGGAGGGCCTGCATTAGGTATTTTTAGAAGATCCACTTGCCTTATAAAGTCTCTGCTGATCTCGCCATCCCTTTCTTCACTATTCTACCTACTCCTCAGCGCTGAACAGTCAGAAAAGATTTACTCAGCATGACCCCTGGGAGCTGACTGGATCAAGGAGAGAGACACCTAACTAGGCTTAGCCAGAATCTTGGGGGTTTTGGAACTGACTTGGAAAGTCAGGCTTTCCATATGGCTGGAACCTGCCTGAAAAGCTGAAGGTTCTGGGAAGCCATCCTCTATATACTGAGAAGCAGAGAAATAGTAAGAAAGATGAATACGAGAGCTTTGTAGAGAAAAGCAAAAATTGACAGACTCTCAGAATTCCCGCTGCTCTGTGATTCTTCAGAGTACTTTCTGAAGCCCGGTGGTGTTCCTTATCTTGGATTCCATGAGACACCCTGTATCTGCATCACACATGCCTCTCTTTCTCTCACATGCTAAATCAAATTGATTTTTGTTAATAACCAAAAGCCATCTAATTAATAAATCACCATGGTCAGGTTTAATAATACACATTAGTAGTTGGCAAGAACAGGGCACTATGAATTACTCCATTTATTGGTTACTCAAGCAAAAAAAAAAAAATGAAAGTAAAGAAGTATAAAATGCAAAAGACTGTTAAAGAGCTTTATGAGAGTAAAAACTAGACCACATGCATAAAACTGTTTCACGGGTGCTTCTACTTTCTTCAGTCAATAACACTCTTAAAACCAGCTGGAACCAAAAGCTTCAATTATATACATGTGGCTGTAACCTTCAAAAGCTCTTAAACATGTCTCTTCAACAAACTCTTCCTGGGTCTCTAGGGAAGCTGGGCTATGTGAAAGATGCTCCCTCTGTTTCAGGCTACCTGGAGGAATGAAGACACAGGCAGGCAAGATCAAAATCAGCCCTATGAGTGAGCTGCCAGGAGGTGCACCCAACCTACCTGATGAATAGTCTAGAAGGTACAAAGGTATCAGGGAGGAAGTATAACGGTTCTCAGGAACAAGAAACTCAGTTGGGCAAACAAAAGCTTCCTACACAGGAATAGGACACGCAAAGGCATGGCAGGGGCGGAGTCTGGCATGTTCTGGGAAGCTCAATGGCAGAGGACAGCAACCACGATGATTAGAGAAGTACACCAAATACCTAGAGGAGAGAGTGCAGTGTCTACCTGTCCAACACAAAAGCAATGGATGGCCCCCCAACAGCTTCTACTTATTTATCATTTATTTTTAATACATTATTAGCCTGAAAAAAAGGATTATTCCAACATGCATTAATGAAGTTGATTTGGACCTCACTTCCTCCAGGAAACCCTGGATCACCAAAGCCAGATGAGACCAGTCTCTGCTCCAAAAGCACCCACTCATAAAACTGAGTAACAGCAGCAGGACTGACCAACTGCTTGTCTCTGACCACCATTAGCTTGTGGACTTCTTGGTCATCACAATGTTTCCAGGCAGACACTTAATAAAAATTACTGAATGAATGCCATTGTCAGACACTTCATTACCAGAGAAGAAAATTAATTACTTCCTCCTGCTCCTCAAGAAACATTTCACACCTTCCAGCCCTTAAGGCAGGGTCTATCCCCAAGTTTAAATTTTTATTAAAACCTTTTTTAAGATACTTGGTTGTTTCCAAATGCAACCTACTATGTCTTTTGGAGGCTGTCTGATTTTTCTGTCATTGAGGATGAAGAGACCTGGGAAACTGGGAAGTAGCGTGTCTCCTCTGGTGGTGAGCAGCTAGCACCTGTCCTCAAGTGTTTCTCTAAGGCCGCAGGCCTGAGGCCCTACACATGACTATGACCTGAAACCAGACCCTTGCCATCACTTTCTTAACTAGCACCATTTCTGGTCAAAAACACCTTCAGTGCCCAGATTATAAACTCCGTGGGAACAGGAAAATGGTTTCATTTACCTGCGTATTCCCCACTGTGCCTGGTACAGTGACTCAGTAAGAGGAAAAACACTTGGCAATTACTTATTAAATAAAGAATTCAAGAGCTCTGGTGTTACAGTATTCCTGCAATTTCTGCATTTGAAGCATTACTTATTTCTACAAGGGAAATCAGCCAGACAGACCCCCGCCAAAAGCAACACACTGATTGTTATAATAGAATTCCTTCCCTCCCATCCTGCCATCCTCCAATTTTCTAAACTTCTTGGAACATTTCAAGAATAATCTTCTTTCCCATTTGCTTGATTTAGAGCTAAAATGAGGTGGTAAGCAACTGGGATGGTTGGTAACTGTTGCTGCGTGTTATAGGCATTTATGCACAGTACTGTTTTAGTTAAACAAATGAGCTCAGATGTTCTGGCAGCAGGCAACTAACAAATCATCATTTGCAGTAAATAAAAGTAAAATGGTACAGCAAAATATGCCAGTGTTTCCAAGACAATTACAATTAGAAACCAAGTGTTATTTCTTAAGGCAGATTTGGGGTACTAGAAGCTTGTGAAAAAGGGGACAAAAAAAAAGAGCAGTCAAATATTTGTAGTGATACAGAGTAAATAAACTAGTACCACAGAGTATTTCAAGCTTATTGTATAGATAAACTCCAAAACCTTGGGTCAATTTTTGAAATGTCAGTAATAGGAAATTAGGGATGAATATTTAAAAACTAGTAATTTCTTTAAAAATGAACTAAATTTGGGGCTTTCCCTGGTGGTACAACAGGCTAAAGCGCAGCACTACAAGGTATACTGCAACGTAAGTTCGATCCCTGGACAGGGCGTGGCAGACTTCTGTCTTACCTGCTCTCCCCTCAGCAGTGTATTTCCGTCAAACTGCCTATTCTCTCCCCACTCTGTCTCTGGCAAATCCTCTCACCATCCCTGCACCTCTCGCCTGTACCCCAGTTCTGTATGCATACATAAATAAAACTTTAAAAAA